GATCCGCACGCCATCAACAAACAGCAACAGTCGGCGTTCACTTTGGCCGCACAGTCGGGCGCTTTCCTAGCGCTGGAGCGCATACTATTGGTCAAAGACTGTCCGCTATCGGCCACCGCTGCCGACCCGACCACTGGCGACACATTCCTCCACCATATGGTCGCTCACGCGGCCAAAGACGTGACGATCGGTGGCTACCAGACGCTGGCCTGGTATCTGCGATCGTTGGCCACGGGTAGCGTACGGCACGAGTTGGCACTCAAGACAATGGCCGCCACAGGGAATAAGTCGCACCGGAGGCCACTCCACGCGTTTCTCGAGAAATATGCGGCCATTAGTTGCGGCGCGGATTACACGAACAAATTGCTGGACTTTTTACGCCTATTGCTGGACACACTCGGCTCAGACGTCGACGCGCCCACCGATTGGTCCGATCCCAAACACATTGACTACGCCCTGCATATGGCCGTCAGGTCCGGCTGTTTGCCAGAGATCTTGGATGAGTTGATGGCCCGGAAGCCGCTGTTGGAACAGCTGGACAACACTTGGCGGACACCGTTGGCTGTAGTCATAACGGGCGGCCACGAGTCGACGGCTCGTAAGCTGATCGCCGCCGGCGCTGACGTCAAGTTCCGGTCGGTGGACGACGAGAATCAGTGCCTGTTTATAGTGCACGCGAAGAAGTCGTTTCAATTGGTACCGTTGTTTGTGGAGAAGGGCGCCGACGTCACCGAACAGGTCCACCGCTCGGACGATACTGTACTGCATTTGTTGGCCGCGCGGGTGACGGAGGACGGGGTTATGGAGGCGTTGGAGGCCGTGTTGGCCGCCGATGGGGTGGACGTGAATGCCGTCAACAAAGATGGTCTGAAAAATTGCTTTTAAAAAATTAAAAAACTTTGATTATTAACACATACCATACCTGCGCCCACCCCTACAACAGGCCGAACACCCCTACACCTGGCCGTGAACTGTCGTCGCGGCGGCACTGATGACACGTTTGACTTCGAGGAGCGCCTGTTGGCCGCCGGCGCCCGTACGGACATATTGGACAACATGGGTCGGGCGGCCCTACACTACGCCTTCGTGAAAATAGGCGCCCATACGGACCGGGCATTCATGGATCCGATCGATTTGGTTGAACTCCTGGACCCGGCAGATGTGGATCACCCGTCCGGTCAACCCATGCCCTGCGAGGCGGCCGACGAGTTTGGGTCCACTGTTTTGCATTACGCGGCCCAACGCGGGGCCACCATATCGTGTATGCATTTGTTGCGCCGCTCGGCTGTGCCCGTCGACCCCGTAGACAGAGCGGGCAATACACCACTCGGTCTGGCCGTCCTGTATGGTCACGAAGGTTGGTCTCTCTCTCTCTCTCTCTCTCTCTCTCTCTCTCTCTCTCTCTCTCTCTCGTGTATTGAATAGTAATGCGAAACGAGTGATGAAACCCATTGTTGCGGATATGGGAATGAATTAAACCATTGATTTTACACACAATTTCTTATTACAATTGCATTACTATTCACGCCATAAGTATATCGATATAATCGGAATAATCACCCTATTTTTACCCCTTTCCCTTTTATTTCTATCACATACCTTTCCTCCCCTATACGTGTCCACCACTTATCTCAACCATGTTTTCCCCATTTATAGGCTGTGCGCTGTTATTGCAGCAAAAGGGCGCCGCATATATGCTCCCCACCGGCAATCTAAACACCGAACCCGATCTGAAACCGTTGGCCACCGATGGGGACAAAGATCGGTGGCGATGGCGACCACTCGGAGAGACGGCTGCCTTAAAACGGGAACAGCGTTTGGCTGAAGTGCACCGACCCATCATCGAGGAAGTGGTCCGCAAAGACTGGAACGGTATGTAGTCGTGATGTTCTCTCATCGCATATTTTTACCTTAAAGTTTTATTAATTTTTTATTATCATGAACTGTTTTGCGACTTCCAGGTGTCCTGAAACTAATGATCAACGACTTGGGCGCACAGGGAGTGGGAACCGGTGTAGTGATCGCCGCCGCCATTAAGACCAATCGCTACAATCTGGCCATTAAACTGTTGAAGAGAGTACACAACGCGCGCACACTTCACAACCCGGAGCGGACACTATTGCACACACTGGCCATGGAGTCCAAGGGCGGCAACACTGGCCTCCAGAGCCAAGTGGTCAAACTGATGACAGCACTCGACCCAAAGCTGATTCATACGGTGGACACGAAGTTCTTTTCAAACGCTATCGTATACGCGGCCGCCAACTGGAACTGTCAACTCATGCGCGAGTATACCGAGGCGTTGGGCGGCGTCGGCAAAGTGGCCGCACTGGCAGCCGATGCGCTACTCCGGACACCGGTGTCGGCACTATTCTGGTCATTACACACCCGTACGGATCAGTCTCTGCCCAAAGAGGTGACCGAATGGCTTTTGAAACTGTTGGCCGCCGATCCGGAGCTCGTGAACGCTGTGGCCTATTATCCATTTACGGAGAGTCCGTATCCGGGCGTACGGTTTGCCGCCACGGCTGATGCCAAAGCCTCGGCGCCCGGCGCTGTCAAGTATACCCCGTTGATAGTGGCTGTGATTTGTGGCCACTATTTGATTGTTAAGGATTTGCTTAATTTGAAGGTTAGCGACGAGTTTGTGGTCGATGTTAACCGGCCGGACAGCTCCGGTCGCACACCACTCATGCACGCCGTCCGACTGGTCAGTGGTTTTGTGTTGATTACTATCAGAGAGAGAGATTAATATTTATTTTAACTCGTTTCTCTATGTTTAATAACACAGAATGACATAAAAATGGTAAAACTTCTACTAAATCGAGATTATAAGCCCGAAAAGGACCGACGAGTTTGGGCCGTACGGCCGGCACAGCCACAGTTGGACAACAAAACCGGTGTCGAAACCAAAACCCGGGACACCAACGGCTGGACAGTGTATCATCACATGGCGACCCCTTTGGCTAACTATACATACGCCAACTCCGACGCCCTGTTGGCCCACTTGTGGCCCTCGCGAGCGATACTTACGCTGACCAACAACGAGGGCCGGACTGCCAACCAATTGGCCTGCGATCGAATCGCTCGTAATCTGGAGGTGAAGTTCCAGGAGTTGATGCTTTTCAACTGGAAGGCACCCGTATTCCCGTCCTTATCACTGACGGTGGATGTGTTGGACCGCATGTTAAACGCATTCCTCAACATTAAGATTGATTATAAGTCGGACGCGAAGAAAATGTGCGAACAGTTGGACGCGGAAGTGATGGACACAGACAAGGATAAGGAGCCTGACTTTGTGCCCGATTCTCTCATCGGTATCGACGCAGCGTATGTGCTCTCTCTCTCTCTCTCTCTCTCTCATCGAAGAGTTATTTTGTGGACAAAATGTGTAATTATAATAAATAATAACATTTCCTTTCACTTAAACATAAGGCNCTCTCTCTCTCTCTCTCTCTCTCTCTCTCTCTCTCTCTCTCAAACACACACAATCACTCACTAAACCATTGATTATCATACCATTGAAAACACAGGGAACTAGTGATGGACACCTCACTGGACATACCGTACGACGTGTTGCTCACGAAAGTAGATCTCGAGTACGGAGTGTACGGTCTCTACAACTTCTACATAATGCAAATCGTTGAGCACCGGGTGAAGGGTCTCGTCATACTATTCACCCGATGGGGTCGTGTCGGCGACACCGGACAGTACCAGAAGACCCCCTACGCCACTGTCGAGGAGGCGGCCGACGAGTTCCGGAAGATATTTCGGGCCAAAACCGGTAACCACTGGCAGACGGGGTTCGCAGCGCAGCCCAAGAAGTACCGGTTGGTTGAGCTCCAGAAGCGGCGTCGACGGCGCGCCCGGGAGTACAAGTTTGACTCCTTGTCTAAGGCTATCGTCGACAAGAGAGGCGATGGTCAGGAGGAGTCGGTTGAGGCCAAACTGCCGGCACCGCTCCAGAAGCTGATGAAGACACTGATCCGCGTGCATACCGGCGGCGATTCGTACCGATCGCTGGCCACCGGCCGCGAGAGCGC